TCATCTTCCATCTGCTTGATCAGTGTCAGCTTCCTCACTTGTGGTTCATCACTTTCAACCTTCACTTGTGCTCTGTAGATCTTGAGGTCCGTCACTGTTGAGTTTCTTGCCTCACTGGCACTTTTGCTGAACCTTTCTTCAGGTAAGCATTGAACTGGTCTAGAGGATCAAGTCCCCATCCGACTTTCCACAACTTGCCTACTGCAAATAGTGGTTGTGTTACATCTCCGAACACAGCTGAATCTCTTACCTTTATCACTCTTCCATCTGTTCTTTGGAATTCAAACGTGATGTTCGCTCTTGTTTCAGTGGTCCTTATTCTGTTGCCTTGAGCATCTTGAATGACCATTCTCAAAGCTGGGAACTCAACTGTTCCTAAGTCTTCACTGTAGTAGCATAGCGGAAGTACATGACAATCCGCTCCACTGTCTAACACGACTTCAACTAGTTCTGCATAGCTTGAGCTTACAGTCCTTACTCGATGCACTTCTGGATCTTCATCTTGAACGCTTCTGAAAAGTCTTTCTCTTTCTCTTGCCTGAATGGCATTCTGCTTGTCCACTTGCAGATCTTCATACCACTTGTGAAGTTCATCCTTCTCATAATCTTCTTCATCACTCTCATCGACTATGCTTGACATGAAGATAACTGTGTTGACCTTCACTGCTCTTGCGGCATAGTCCATCACCATCTCTTCGAACATTCCTACCAGATCGACGTACTCTTCTTCATCGTCGAACACTTCTTCAATCACTGGCATAGGCGTTGTCACCAACCTACGCACTTGCTCATTTCCTTTTGCTCCTTGTGGTGGCCTTGCTTGTGCCTGTGTAGAAGAACTTGGTTGCTCTTCATACCATTCTTCCTCGCCTGTCTCTTGGACGTTGCGAACTTTTCCTTTCTTTCCTTTTCCTTTCGGTGGTAACCAACACTCCGAAGAGTAATGTCCAGTCTTACCACAATTGAAACATACAGGTCCGTTTTGTCCACCTTTTCCTTTTCCTTTGTCACTCTCGTAGCCTTTCCCTTCAGCCTGCCTGATGCTTTTTCCTCCTTCCTTTCCATATCCTTTTCCTTTTCCGAAACCTCTTCCTTTTCCTTTTGATTTTCCTCTACCACCTTTTCCTTTTCCGTATCCTCTGCCCTTTCCTTTGTCCTTTCCTTTTCCATAAGGGCTTCCTTTTCCTCCTTTGTCACCTTTTCCTTTTCCATCTCCTTTACCTTTCCTCATGTGCAATCTATCGAGTTCCATCGGGATTGGTCCTTGGTAAGTCTTGTTGCTTGAGTGCGACGTTGGGTCTGGAACACTCAACGATCCTAAGATGTTCTCAGCTGACCATGTCTGATTGCTTCTTTCATATTGTAGCAGCTTTGCTCTTAACTCTTCATACGTGGTCTTATCAGTGATATCAACCATCACATGCTGCTTGAGGTGCTGCGGTATTCCTTTCAGCAGTGTACCGATCTTCAAGTTTTCATCATACTTCTGGCCTAAGAGCTTTTCGTACTCTGCTGTGAGCTTCTCGTATGTCAGGACGTAGTCCATCAACGATGCTCCTTTGCTCATGGCTGGGAATCCAACCAATGCCTGAGCCATTGCTAGACTCCTTGAACGAGATGTCGGCTCTAATTCAGCCGTCAACTTTCTCCACACTTCAAATCCATTCATCCCGCTTACACTTCTCAGCACTTTCAGAGGTCTGTTTCTCAAGTAACTGCTTAACACTGAGTAAAGCTTCGTTCCTCTGTTCACTCTTCCTTGATCATTGTTGAAGAATGCATTTGTCACCTCCATTCCTATCACAGCCTTTTGTTCTTCTGCTGACTTCAGGTCCTTCAGGAATTCTTGGTCCATGAACGCTAAGAAGTTCTTGAACGTAAATGACCAGTCACTCCATTGTGACACTTCTTCTTCAATCGTAGCTGGATTAAACGATTCCGGTGGCTTGAGGATCTTACCTCCAGTATCAAAACTTACTGAAGCTGGCTGGCCTCCCGAAGGGGCTGCCTGACTCATTCGAGTCGGTGATGCTTGGGCTTTTGCCAATGCATCCATTGCTGTTGTCAACTGCTGTTGCTGCACTGCTGTTCCTTGTGCAACTCTTGCCATCGCTTCTGTAGCTTGGCCTAGCGTATTCATCAGCTGTTCCAACCTCGCCTGCTGGGGGTTCGGCTGGTGCTGCGCTTGTTGAGCTTGTTGTTGCTCCTGCATCTTTTCAACACTTTGGCAGGTCCTTATATATCTGGCCCAAGGTCTTCACTTCCACGCTTTCTCCGACTTTGCAAGGTGCTCTTGGCTTAGCCGTAACTCCTCGCTGTTCTCCGACAGGATGCTCTTGGTAAACCGTAACTTCCTGTTCAACACTTTTCACCTTTTCCAGCTCGTGGCTGGCTTCCCTGGATCTTTGCTTTATCAGCTGCTGGCCTTTGCCAACAGCTCCGCTACCATGAAAGTTTAAACCCTTAAACCAGTATCCTTGTCACAGCACGGCGCGAGCTTCGGAATCTTTTCTCACTACTCGCTCTGCTGTCAGGCTGTCTTGAGCCTACGTTTGACCTACGGAGATACGCAGTGAAACTGGCGGTAAATCGGGCATGAGGGAAAATTGAACATTCTGTTAGAAGACCAGTGCCGCAGGCAAGCAACCCGCTCCTGCAACCGCCGTCATCGACTCTAGGCGTGCCAAGCGCCTAGACGACGCTCAGATGCAACACTGGCAACCTGTGTGGGTCCAAGGTCAAAGGGCTTCGCTCCTAGGCAGGAGGCCATTCATCAAGCTTGCGCTGCATGTCGTTGCCACTTCGTGGAAAGTGGGATTCTCGCAGAAGGTACAGCAATTGAAACTGGCCCGCATCATACAAGGTTTTGAGGCGGTGAAAGCCGTACTGGAGGGTGTCTAGGTCTGGTTCATGAAGGTGCGGCATAAGCTCATTGGAAATGAAAGGGAGTTGGATGCCAGGGCCAAGTCCGCCCTGCTCGATGAAAGCATGGGCCGCTGCACGCCACTCATCTTGTCCCCACGTGTGTCCGAGACGATACCGCGGTTGGTTACCGTCAGGCAGAACCCCCTGATTAGCTTCCTGTGCCACTAAGTGATTGATCAGAACTTGGGCCCGACAGTCCCGTGCATCGAAGTGGGCATAGCGCCACAGGCGGACAGGGAAGTAGAAGTCCATTTTCCGAGGGCCACGTAGCCAGAACACAACAACGGCACTGAGCTCCCAACCCGGGTGGGGCAGCCGTGCGGAGACGACACAATGCGGCGTGCAAAAGTCCAGCAGACCAGGGAAGCATCATCAAGAGGAAGCAGGAGGCGAAACGTGCCTTTACAGTGGCCGTGGTAGGAAAACATCTGTGGATCGAAATCGCCGCGCCGTGCAGGGAGAAGTCCACGATGAAAGCCTTCCATCATGCGGGCAGCAATCGCGATTTGGAGTTGGCCAACCAGAGAGGTCAGGACCTCCGCCTTGACTCGGAGCTCAACAAACAGGCCATTATGCTCGACTGGTGCAACACGTACAAGCTGCAAGAGGAGCCGCCTCAGGCTCGTCGAGCATAGGTTTTTGGAGTGTTCCGGAACCCAGGGTTCAAACTCCCGGTGGGCCCCGGGGGGGGGGGAGAACATATAACTCCGGAACTCAGGGTTGAACCCTGGGTTCGAACTTCTCGAACCCAGGTTGAACCTGGAGTTTGAACTCTATGTTCAAACCCTGGGTTCGCGAACTCTATGTTCGAACCCGGGGTTCGGGAACTCTATGTTCGAACCCTGGGTTCGGGAACTCTATGTTCGAACCCGGGTTTGGAGAACTCCATGTTCGAACCCCGGGTTCGGGAACTTCTCCCCCTTTCCCAGAGAGTCCGAACTGGGTTCGGAACCCCCCCCGGTCCCCCAGGGAGTTCGAACCCTGGGTTCGCGAACTCTATGTTGGAACCCGGGGTTTGGGGAACTCTATGTTGGAACCTCGGGTTCTGGAAGTCGTCCCCCCCCCCCCGAGCCCTGGGTTCGGGAACTCCACGTTTGGGGGGGGTGCCCCCAACCCCCCCGCTGTTTTTAGAAGCTTGCCGAAAACAAAGAAAAAGGCTGCCAATGACCAGTCCCTGCTACAAAAGAAGCAGAAGCCACACGAAACCGCTTTATGGTGGTTTTTGCGAAGAAATCAAAGAAAGACAAAAACAATCAAAAAGCTTGTCAATGAGGAGTCTTTCTTCTCAAAGGAGGCAAGCATCTCGGCTCATCCGAAGGATAGTCTGCGGCCAATCGTGCCGTTGTCGTGGTTTATTTTTGTGTCTCCGGTCTTTCCGGTTTGGGTTTCGGGCGTGGGGCGGCTGCTTGTTCGTTCAGGGACTCGGGGCTAATGCCCCCATGGCCGCTGCTTTTGCTATGGAACAGTGCCCGTTGCATGGCAGCAACAAGATTTCCAGAGTGGCCTGGTGGAACTTTTCTGATCTGCTGCATAAGCGTATCACTGATCTGGCTATGGAATATGCTTGCCTTAAGTGGAGACCTCTGCCCATTGCTGCTAAAACGGCCTTGCAAAATTTATATGGTGTCAGCTGGCTCCGAGATGCTCCGCATATCATCTGGATGGATGCATGGCGGCTGCTTTCACCCTGCCAACGGCCCTCATACATACAGCAAACATATGCCATCGACGCTGACTTTGCACATGCTATGGTTGGTTCAGCTTATGATGCATGCATTGGCTGTTTTGAGGACTTGGAAACAATGGACTGAAGTCTTCTTGCCCTGCACGGTCCAGGATACACTGAGGACCCTGGAAGGTGCTCGCCGACTCGGGCGACGCAATCCCTCCTGCCTGCCGATGGCCTGGCCCCTGGCACTGCTGGCATTGTTTGGGCTTTTTCCGCTGTATGCTGCAATATGTTCCGTCACAGACTTCCACACGCTTTTGCTGCTCTCTGTATGTCTGGCTCATGCTCGCATAGATTGGTCCCACGGCCCTTTCGGTACAGGCTCCTGTATAAGGCAACCTCGAAGATGGACTCGACGACTGCACCTGCTGCCCACACGGCCGAGAACATTCCCTGTAACTCCAGGATTAAACCCACCCGGGCGCCGGACACTGAGCCCAGCGTCCGTGAGCGCTGGAACAATCGAGTTTCTGGAATCAAGGGCTACCCTACCAGCAATCCAGTTCTCTTTCCTAAAGGACCTCCACCACCTCCTGGTGCTGATTTGTTGGCTATCCTTCAAGGAACTGACTCAGAGGTCTCGGAAGAAGTGCCCCTGGTTGCCTCGGCTAGCACTACGGCGGTTCCCCGAGAGCTCCCTCAGGAGCCTGACTCAGACTTTGACCTGGATCAACCAGTTGGCGATGGGGCCTACCAACCTACGTGGAATGAGCTGGTACTGGCATGCCTTCCTCCGCCACTCAAAGCTGCACCTACTTCGGTGGCCTTGGCAACAATGGCAGTTCCCCCAGCAGTGGAGGAGCCTGACTCCTTGCCTGAACATCCGGAGTCTGAGCCTGGCACCCCGGCTGCCGATCCAGTTCTGGATGATCCGATGGAGGGCACGTCTGATGAAGGCTTCATGCCACTACTTGACTCGGATGCTGAATTCAGCTCCACGTCGGATTTTACAGACAGCAGCCTCTTTGATGCATAGTCTCCTGAGCTGCTTAGGAGACCTTCTGCCTGTGCCACAGTGTGTGCGCTCCCTGAAAAGAAGTACACGGCTCATGGTGCTGTCGGTGATTCGCCTGCACTACCTGTACCACCAACTCCTGCTCTATGGCTGCCAGGTGTTCTACTTCCAAAAGGTTGCGATCTTGGCGGGTGGCACTCTCAGACCCTCACCTCGGCAACCAGTGCAGCAGTGGCGTAACCAACACAGCCACGACCCAGACACAACCATCACGACCTCGGCCTCTACGTCTGCTCGAGGAAGCCGCGTGGGTCCCAAGTCCCACGGTAGTTGTCGCCAGCTCTGTTGCAGCCCCAAGCTTTCCCTCCCCTTTTGGCTGCTTATCCTCTTCTGTTGCATCATCAATAGCAGAGCGACACCTACAGATGCGAGGGTTGCACCTGTAGTCCTGACGGGTGCTGGAGCCTTGGACTCTGTCCAAGGTGAAGCTCAAGGACGAACCGCGTTCCATGTGGATCGCTATGCATATGTTTCACCACCAGGCCTGCAACCATCTTCACGCTCCAAGCATGCCATATACGTTCGCAAACGTGCCTTTGCCCGTGCAGTGCAACGCGCCTCTCAGGCTCCAGATGGAAGTACCACCTACCGAGGTCGTCGGGTGGTGCTCAAAGGCCACAACCACTTGATCCGTGCAGCTACACAACAATCTTCTTCATTGGTCACAGGAACACCGGGACGACGCTCGACGAGGGCTCGACTTCGGGTGCTCACACTCAATGTGGGAGGCCTGGATAGTACCACATATGACACTTTCATGCAGTGGCTACCCCAGGCTCCCTATGATGTTGTTTGTCTGCAAGAGATACATCATGGTCTAGGGAAAGAGTCCACACAGTGGCGATCCTCTGGCTGGACCTTTATTACTTCGGTTGATCCCAAGACTCGTTTCCAAGGTGTGGCTGTTCTGCTTCGAGAGGCTCTCTGCACCACAGGCGAGGTCCATTTCCAAGAGGCCCACACTGGTCGATTATTACATGTACGGCTGGCTCAGGACCTTCACTCCATCGATATTGTCTGCGGATACCAGTTTGCACTGCACCAGGAGGCCGACAACAATAACCTTCTGCACCGGCACAAGTACTGGGATCGTTTGGGGGCCCTGCTTCACAACTTGCCCCAGCGTAATCTTCTTATACTTGCTGGCGATATGAATTGCACACCAGAGTTTGTTGAGGGCTCCATGGGACACACCTACGATGCCTCCGCGAAGTATCCGGACTCTGGAGAGTTTGCGGCTCTGCTGGAGGCCCATGGTCTCATTCTGCTCAATGGCTGGATTCGTCGACGCCTGCAGCCCACCTTTGTAGGTGCCAAACACAAGTCGGTGATTGACTTCGTTATCACTCGCAGGCAGCACGCGGATGCATTGGCCAGGCGGGCCAAACCTTGCCCGGAGCACAACTTCAGCCCATGGCGTATGGGGGGCAGGCATTATGCTGTTGTCACCAGCCTTCCTTTGCATCCAGGCTGGACCCGTCAATCTCCTCGGGCTCCCCTGCCTCAGCTCAAGTACAACAAGCAAGCACTTGACCAGGAGGCTCGAGAGGGGGGACCACGGATGCTTCAACTTCGGCAAAATCTTCAAACGTATCTGGCCCAGCATGCCTCTCCTACACTGGAGCACGTCAATGACTTTCTGTTGCAGCAGGTTATCACTGCCTTTCCTCTCAAGCCTTCGTCGCCAGCTCCTCGAGCATGGCAAACACAAACAGTGCAAGGCTCAGTCACTGCCATGTGGCAGGCTCGAGCTCGACTACGCCAAGTCAAGCAGAGACACTGCCGGGCGCTACGAGCATGCATGGAGGCTTTCAAGAGACATCGTGAGTTCATGCAGGCATACAAACAGCTGAAACTCAACGGTCGCCAGGCTCGGAGGACCCTACTCAACAGGGAGCTTCAGAATGCGGCAGAGGCTGCTCATAGGCGGGACGTGGGGCAACTACACCGCATCATTCGCCGTCTTGCCCCAAAGGTGAAACGCGATACTGTGAGAATACATGGCCCTCAGGGTGAGATGCTTAGAGATGCTGACGAACATCGAACCATTGTCCGGCACTTTGAAGCACTCTTCCAGTCCCGTACGGCGGCCATATCAGCTACTACTACATCTGTTGCACCACCACCACAGGTGACCGTCCACGATGTGGCCCTTGCTCTTCGCTCCACACCGTATGGAAAGGCAGTACCTGAAACTTCCGCGCCGTCCAGTGTCGTGAAGCTCTGTGCAGATGACTTGGCTCAGGCCCTTGCACCATCGGCGAATGCCTGTCTGAGCGGGGCCTGCACTCCGCCCCTGCTGGCTGATTGCCTGCTGACCCTAATCCCTAAGCCTCTCAAACCTGCCAAACGCCCTGAAAATTTACGGCCATTGGGGTTACAGGATTGTCATGCTAAGGCTTATGCTAGGCTGATCAAGCAATTACTCCTTACTGAGGTTGGGCCCACACTAGAGAAACTCCCGGTCTTTGCATATATCCCCGGCAGAAGCACGGATGATGCAGTAGCAAGGGTAATTTCTCATTGCACTTCTGTTCGACAAGCCCATCAGCAACAGCGCTCCTCAGTGCATACGCATCGACAGAAGTGCAGCCGCGCCTCAGTATCTGGGGGCCTCCAGCTGGCGATAGATCTTTCAACAGCTTTTGATCTTGTACCCCGCGATACCCTCCAACAAGCATTGGAATGGGCTGGTGCCAGTGGGCCTCTGATAGCGGCCATTATGGATCTGCATTCTGTCTGTAGATACACTATCAGACACAAAGGCCACACCTCCATGATACATATGAGAAGAGGAGTCAGACAAGGGTGTACGCTGGCTCCACTACTCTGGCTGGTCTTTAGTGCCTACATGACGTCTCGGATAGCACTGCAACTCCCAGAAGAGTGGATACATGAACATCTGACCCTGTATGCGGATGACACCCACGCCAGCTTTGCCACTGACAGCATTGCAGATGTCAAGTTCGCCTTTCGGGCCATCCAAATTATTTTTGAAGTCTATAGAAGCCACGGCATGCGAGTCAATCCGAGCAAGTCTGGAGTAGTACTCGGAGTTCGAGGGCACGAGGCTAAGGAACTCTTACAACAACACATTCAAGGTAAGGATGAAGACAGCTGTCTGGTTTTGGGTATCGGCCCCTCGACTCTGAAAATACCCATAAAGAAATCCATGCTGTATCTTGGAGTTTATGTGTCGTATGGGAACTTCGAGCTTGAAACCTTAGAGCATCGCCTAAAGGCAGCCCAAGCTACCAGATGCCGCTTAGCCAAAGTCCTGAGTGCTCGTAAATATCTTACGCTTGCACAAAGGCTGCACCTCTATGTTCTCTGCGTACGGTCGGCGGCCCTTTATGGTTTAGGCCCGGTAGGCTTCACCTCGGCTAGTCTCCGTAAGCTGCAAATCTTTGAGGCAAAACACATCAGGGCTATAGCTCGCTCACCTGTGCATCTTACCAGAGAACCTACGGCGACACTATATGCCAGACTTCATCTGAAGCCGGCTGCTCAGCAGCTGCTCAAGATCTTGAAGGGGAGGCTCCCGCAGACGGAGGGACCCACTGCCTCCTCATTTGGTCATCATGGCTGGGTGTGCGAACGGTACCAGCACCTGCAGGATCTTTTGCACCTTCAATCGGCAGGTCTGCAGGAGGCTCCCAGCGTACAGGAGGTTGCCTGCCCTACATGTGGCCAGTACTTTAGTACGCTTAAGGATATGCGGGTTCATCATGCCACCTCCCATAAGCAGCCCCTTCAACCTAGACCCACAGGACCAGCCTCTGCCCTGCACTATGTACGAATCCAAGATCATTGCTTGGGCAACATGCCGGTGTGCAGACACTGTAAACAGAAACTTCACAACTGGCATAACTTTCGATTGCACATAGTGGCTAGTTGTCCTGTTCTGCACGCGGGCTTGTCTGGCAATACTACCGAGCTTGCTATGCGGGACACTGCGGAGCTCGAGACATCAGTGCCTGCTTTGCAGTCCGCTGCGGGGCCTGAGCTCTCTGTAGAGATGGAGACATTCGTTCCCATTGCTGAGCGTGCAGACTTTTTGCGACTCATTGACACCAGCGAGTGGAAGCATGCACTCTGGCTTGAAGGGGTTCGTGAACAGTTGTGCAATCACTGTATTCTGTGTGCTCAGTGGGTCTCTTCTGCACCTGGAGCTCTCAACAAGCATATGTTCTCCCTGCATCCGGAGCTTGCTCGTTTTAAACCAGACGCAGTGGCTCATAGCCTGACGCTACGGGAAGGGCAACAACGCCCCTGTGGTGCCTGTGGAGCTCGGCCCTTACACAAAACCAAGCATCGCTGCCGGGTTCTCTATCAACTCTGCCTACTACGACACTCCCGACTGCAGGCCCTCTCAACTCCCCGGCTGCTTTCTGATCGACATGGACGCCCAGAGTGGAGCCGAAGCCCTGGCGCAAGTTCAGGATATGTTTCCTCACCTGGCACCACCGACTACCGCAGGAGATGCCCCGATGGAAGGTGTACCTCTGACAGGTCGGAGAGAGAGGGAGGAGGACAAGGCCGAAGCAGCGGAACCCCAGGACAAGTACCGGCGCCCGGCTGGGAAAGGTCAGAACCATCCTACGGGGAAGAGCCCGCCACGGGAGAGCACCCAAGAGCCTGCATCGGCCTCAGCTGGCCACACCAAGCAGGGCCGAACCCGCCAGTGGACGGACCAGGAGTGGGCAGACTGGCAAACCCAGAACACCCAGGCTGGGTGGAACAAAAACAAGACCACCAAGGAGCTGCAGAAAGAGCTGGACGCCCTGAAGGAGGATGTCCGCCTCCTGTCTCGCATTGCCATGCGACACGAGGACGAACTGAGTCAACGTCGGACGGAGACCGACTTCATTCTGACCCTGGAGGTTGCGGACCCCAAGGCTACCCAGGAACAGGAGGGCATCTTGGAACAGCTCTACAAGATGACGGTCGTCTGGAAGCAGCAACAGGAGGCGGGCAAGGCCAACAACTCCTTACGGCTTACTTTGTTCATAGGCCTGCTGCTGTACTACGAGATCAAGGTCCAGGAGGCAACGGCTTCGGCAGAGTCAGTGGAGAACCTGGCCCAGCAAGGCTTGCTGATCCAGGTCGAGGGCAACCCGGCTTGGACCTACCGCCAATGGGACCACCAACAGGAGGCCTTGATTCAGTCCAGTCAACCTCCCCTTCTCGACACGGTGCTTCGAGGCCACCTCCAGACTCTGAAGACCAGCATCGGGGCTCCGGCGGTGACGTTCTTCCTGAGCATCGGCCTTCGCGATCCCCTGGCCCTGGTATGCTACCGAAGCTTGCAGGCCCTTTGCTACAATTCTTCCAACCAGTTGCTCAAAATGCGCCTCAAGCCCATCCGCATGGAACGACAGCCACTGGTTCGCATCATCCAGGAGAGGTACCCGGCTCCCCCCACGCGCTCAGAGGAGCAAAGGGCCACGTATCTGGCGAAGCAGATGCAAAAGGGGCGGAAGGGCAAAGGAAAGGGTCGAGAGGCCCGGCAGGATCCGACGATGCCGGAGCAACAGTTGGAGGACCCTCTGACTGTGGCAGCGGCAGAGTTTCAGGCGAGCCGCGGAGCTTAGTGGAGCAATGGGCAGCGAGGCCGGTCCTTCGACTTGCCCTCCTCAATCCACACCAGCTCTGTTATGCGAATTCAGTGGTTCTTGCATTTTTGTGGATGGGAGCGGTATACAGGTCCGGTTCCTGCAGCTTTGATTCGTTTGGTCAGCTCGAAACTCAGTGTCTTGCATTACTTCGATCTGAAAGAACAGGGCTTATGCAGCATCCGGGCTGGAGGTCGCTACTACAAGCGTGGAGGCCGAATCTTCACCTGCAACAGGACGCTGCGGAGTTTCTGGTATTTCTTTTGGAGCATGCGATGCCCCGGACCTATGAGGGCAGCTGGCAGAGTCGCACTCCGTATTCGATTGGCCACTCCCGATTTACCTTTGTGGCCGACCGAGGACAATGCTTGGAGCCCATTGAAATTACAATTCATCCAGATGGTTTGCAGGCAGGCATCACAGCTTGGCACAATCAGCACCTAAAACATGCTTTATTTCAGGCCCCTACAATGCTCTTTCTGAGAATCAAGCGGTATTCTCAGCTGGACGGCAATGCACGCAAATCTCTGCAATACTTTGACTATCAGGTTGGAGCAACAATCCAGGTGCCCGTCTTTCAGTCAGTACAAGGCCTGGAAGTCCGATGGGAGCAGTATGCCATCATGGCAGTCATCTTTCACACTGGACCACGTGCGACTTCAGGTCACTATCAGACGATTGTGAGTGCATACAGCTTGCACCCTACATCGTCTGGTTGGGTACAATTTGTATATGACGATGGTCAAAGTGCTAAACTCTGCACAGATCGGGTTTCATTGCACTCGAGGCACAACTGCTACCTGTTTGGGCTGGTTAAAGTACCCAATCCGGCCTGACTGCTTCTGCACCTGTGCTTCCCCGTTCGTTTGAGCAGTTCATGGTCTTGTACTGTACAGTGCTGATTTGACGCCTTGTGTAGCTGTGCTTTTAAGCTAATGAACTCAAGCCTCGCTTTGTCATACGTGACGGGGGCTGGCACCTGCTTTGCCATTCGTGGCGGGGTGTCACCAATTATTTTGTAGTCTTGGAGAGTGCACATAGTTCTCACATGTGTAGCTACGCCGGGCAAACGCCTGCTCTCTGTTAGCGGTCGCAAAGCGTCCCCTCAACCTGGACGCTGCGTGTTGAATGAAATGAAAAAATCTCAAAGGAGGCTTCAGAAGGGGGATGAAGTCTCCTACAAGAATGCCAAAGCCGCGAACAAATGAACCAAGCGAACCAGAAGGAACGCCACCAAAGAGGCAAGTGAATCCGTATTGGCTCAAAGGCCAAGGGGATCAAAAGGAAGAATCGTACAAGAAGACAAGATACCAGAACTGCTATTACTGCAAGCAGTCAGCCGACCACAGAGCGACTGAGTGTCCTCTGATGGAACAAGCTGTGCGAATGTATTACAGCGGAGAGCGGCCTGAAGCCAGCAACACCGCTCACAAGATTTTCTGCAAGGTATGTTATATCTACTTCCAGAAGATGAAAGGAAGGTCATTCAGATATACTGGCTGGGGTACCCATACCCCAGACATCTGCAATTACAAAGACCAAGTGAGAAGCTATCTGGAGGATAATGCATACAAGTATGACAAGGAATTGAAAGATTTCCAAGAGACATTGGGCATAGGATACAAGCCAAAAGACAGTTGGGGAGCAGAACCCAAGAAGCCCAAGAGAAGTGAAGAGGCAAAGGCTGAAGAAAAGACCGTGAAGAAGACAGAAGAGAAAGATCCAAAGAAGAAGAAGCCAGTGGAAAAGTCCAAGAGCAAGGACAAGGACAAGGAGAAGAAATCTGACAAGACTGAGAAGACAAAGAAGGTTGAAAAGGAGAAGAAGCGTAAGAGCGTATCTCCGTTCGATCAAGAAAGAGCTGAGAGACGCCAGCGGAATGAGCAAGAGCTTATGTAAACTGCGGCGACGGTTTAAAGAAGCAAGAAGAGTGAGGGCGTTCACAAAGACACCCAGCAAGGCGAAAGTGAGGCTGAGATCAGCCAAGGCAAACGTTTCACAAAAGCAAAAGGCAGAAGCCACGAGGATAGAAAATCCCACGGCAACGACAAAAGCCACGTGGACGGAAGTCCCACGGCAACGTCAAGTCACTACGAGCACCACGATGAATTCAAAAGCCAATGTTTACAGAAAGGACTAAAGACAAAAGCCCGACAAAAGTTTCCAGATTGCCGAAGGGCAAGGATGGACTACGACTACGTCGCGTACAGCGACGTACAGAAAAAGTGAGTGTGCACGTAGAGTGGAGTGAGTCCATGCCAAATGTGTGTGGAAAGCAATTCGCAAATCTGCTATAGGACATCAGAAGAGTGAGGATGAAGACCAAAGGAAGAAAAGGATAAAGATGTCCCACAAGTGCTTAAAGAAGCGTGCGAGAAGTGAAGATGAAGGCTCACAGGAGCATGCGAAAACAGAAGCAGAAGTAGTACAAAAGTTAGGAAAAGTTTCACTGAATCACGTGACACGACAATGCTGTGTACGTGATGAGGGCGTAACAGAATGTTCAATTTTCCCTCATGCCCGATTTACCGCCAGTTTCACTGCGTATCTCCGTAGGTCAAAAGTAGGCTCAAGACAGCCTGACAGCAGAGCGAGTAGTGAGAAAAGATTCCGAAGCTCGCGCCGTGCTGTGACAAGGATACTGGTTTAAGGGTTTAAACTTTCATCTTCGCACTCCTTATCAGGAAGCCGCCCACGCTGCAGTGGGCCTTGGACTTCTGGATTTTGGTGTGCGCGATCGTGACGGAACAAAACACAGGGGTTGTCCGTTGTCTGGCGAGACTAGAACGGCAACCGGAGCCTGGACTTGGCTCCACCTGTTGTTTTGGGCAGCTCTGAGCGACGGCTCTTTGTTGCTCCTGACCGGTCGCTGAGGCTCGTAGTTTGTGCTGAACTGTTGAATTCTGTACATAGGAACGCCCCACACCTTTGGTGAGCCCAGGCTACGGTATAGTATTGTATAGCTGTATACTATGTGACCGATGCAGCGCCTTTGGTTCAAGAGTAAAAGTGTGACCGCTCAGGGTTTTACAGTTTAACTTGGTAGCGGAGCAAGGAAGCCTGAAGATCCAGGAAACCTGTGGGCCGAAGGAAACCGGATTGGAACCGGAAGAAGGACACGAGGATACCTGGAAACTGGACAGTAAATCTTGGAATTCGCCATGAAGATGATCATGGAGAAGATGTACCAGGACCTCTTGCTATTTGTGGTTGGATTCTGTATGAGTATCACGCTGAGCCAAGGAAGCATTCAGGAAACAAGTTGCTTGCGGATGAACATGTCTCACCTTGTTATTCGACCTCAGCCGTTTACCCTCGAAGAGGAAATTTCGGATTGTGTATGGGATCAATTGAATCCCCGAGTATGGGAGAACGATCGGAAGAAGGATCTCTTGTCCCAGCGGCAGGAACTATGGAACTCAAAGACAGTGAGATCTTCAAGGATGAACCTCACCAGAAAGTCTCTCGGGTTACGGAACACGAACCGTTGCCGAGAGTGGCAAGGCCTGTACATGAAGATGTCATGGTGGACCGGACTGCGGAGTTGGAAGAAATGCGGCAAAGTGCAGAAGAGAGGCGAGCTACCTTGGTGGAGCAAGCTAACCTCCTGCAGACGCCAGGAAGGAAAGCTGAAAGTACTCCAGCAAAGACTCCAGGTACAACTGGAGGAAAGTCGCGAGAAGAAAAGAAGAAGGAGAAGAAGACTGCCAAGAAAGAAGCCAAGCAAAGCCGTAAGGCCGAGAAGGCTAGGAAGAAACAGGAAGAAGAAGCCACCAGTCCTCAAGGTGTTCGGCGTAAGTTGGATGAAGCTATGGAAGTGGCAGGATCGATTGAGAACGTCATGTTGCTTGAGAAAGAGTATAAGAGATTCAGACTTGACGGAAAGTATCAACCCCCCTTCCTCAGTATCTACAGCCGGATGTTGCAGAACAATCAGAAATTCAAGCCCAGATCTTTCTATGATCCCCCAGGAAAGGATCAAGAGACAGAACAACTTGAAGCTCTTAAGGAAGAAGAAGAGAAGAAGTCCGAGGCAGAGTCTCGGAAGAGAAAATTGGCCGAGTTGGAGGAGCAAAAGCGGATCTTGGAAGCTGAGACAAAGGAGAAGCAGCAAGCACTGGAGGAAGAAACCAAACGTCTTCGCGCAGTGGAAGAATCGGAGCGTATGGCTAAAGCACTCCAGGAAGCTAACAAGCCGCCAGCCAAGATCACGGTACCTGAAGCAGCACTGGATTCGGCGGAAGAATGGTACCGCAACAAAGCCCTTGAAGTCGTGGGCAAGCTACGAGCTCGTAGAGGCGAACAAACGGAGAACGCTCGTAAGGCCGAGGAAAGTTGGCTCCAAGCTTGCAGGAATGTGGAGAAGGCTCAAAGTGGATTTATTGTGGCATCGGAAAGGCTGCAAAGTGCTATGGGACAAGCCCTCAACATCGCAGTACGCCACGGAGAAGAAAAGGGTCTACTTCAGATCTTGCAATCCATCCACGATGGAACCACGCAGGCACCAGAGCCAGCTGAACCCGCTGTTAAAGCGATGCCAAAGAAAATGCCCAAGTTGGGAACGGACGCTCAGGCTGGACAGGAAAAAGAGAAGAAGCTTCCAGAGCAGAGAAGGTTTGGAAAAGGGAAGAAGCAACCGCCTGAGGAAACCCCAGGATGGGAGTGGACAGAAAGAATTTATGAAGAAGACATCGACGAGAATCGCCCTCTACGAAGCGGAGAAGAGTATTTACCTGGGTCCGAACCTTTCAGTCCCACTTGGACAAAGGAGTTGGTACAAATCCTTTCTGGATTGGCTATGCGCGGGATTGGAGAGAAAGACGGAGAGTATCAGCCCCTATGGGAGTTCCCCTGGCAGATCAAATCGTATGAAGACTATGATGCAATCCAAGCCCAGCTGGAACCGTACAGCGTACGCCTCATTCCGTCTCGCCGCGAGTGTAAAGGTGCTGGACGCTTCGCGGAGGTATGGAGTATGC